TGAACCGGCCCATGGTTTCATCCGACCCAAGAGCCCATTCCCCCTCTGTAATTCGACCCCCCAGCCGGTTCATTCGACCCCAAGGGCGGATTTGAACCGGCCCATGGGTTCATCCAATTCAAGAGCCCATCCCCGCTCGGCCATTCTGACCCCCCCAGCCGGTTCATTTGACCCCAAGGGCGGATTTGAACCGGCCCATGGGCTCATCCAACCCTTGGGCCCATCCCCCCTCGGTTTTTTTACCCCCCACCCGGTCCATTGGACCCCAAGGGCGGATTTGAACCGGCCCATGGTTTCATCCGACCCTTGGGCCCATCCCCCCTTGGTTTCTTTGCCCCTAGGGCGGATCGGAACCGGCCCATGGGTTCATCCAACCCTAGTGCCCACAGGCTTCCCGTGTAATCGAATTCCAACCGGGCAAAAAGGGCTCCAGGGCGGGTGTGATCCCTTTCAAGGCACGACAACACCCTAGAGCCGACAAGCCCTTCCGGTGTAGTCGATTTCCAACCGGGAAAAAAAGGGCTCCAGGGCGGGTGTGAGCCCTTTCGAGGCACGACACCGCCCTAGAGCCCACAAGCCCTTCCGGTGCAGTCGATTTCCAACCGGGCAAAAAGGGCTCTAGGGCGGGTGTGAGCCCTTTCGAGGCACGACACCGCCCTAGAGCCCACAAGCCCTTCCGGTGCAGTCGATTTCCAACCGGGCAAAAAGGGCTCTAGGGCGGGTGTGAGCCCTTTCGAGGCACGACACCGCCCTAGAGCCCACAAGCCCTTCCGGTGTAGTCGATTTCCAACCGGGCAAAAAGGGCTCCAGGGCGGGTGGGAGCCCTTTCGAGGCACGACACCGCCCTAGAGCCCACAAGCCCTTCCGGTGTAGTCGATTTCCAACCGGGCAAAAAGGGCTCCAGGGCGGGTGTGAGCCCTTTCGAGGCACGACACCGCCCTAGAGCCCACAAGCCCTTCCGGTGTAGTCGATTTCCAACCGGGCAAAAAGGGCTCTAGGGCGGGTGCGAGCCCTTTCGAGGCACGGCACCGCCCTAGAGCCCACAAGCCCTTCCGGTGTAGTCGATTTCCAACCGGGCAAAAAGGGCTCTAGGGCGGGTGCGAGCCCTTTCGAGGCACCACACCACCCTAGAGCCAACGAGCATCCGGATATGACCGGATGGATCGGATGCCTTTTTTTCCCCCAGGGCACCGCACAACCCAGTACAAGGCAAGGCGAGCACCCAAGGGGCAAGCCCATCGGGTTCGCCCGATCGAACCCATCCGGATCCATCGATCGAACCCGTCCGGATCCGACCATCGAACCCATCCGGGTCGACTGACCGAACCCATCCGGATCCATCGATCCAACCCATCCGGATCGAACCAACGAAACCATCCGGATCCATCGATCGACCCCATCCGGATCGATGGGTCGAACCCATCCGAATCCAGCCCCATCCGGAACCGAATCGATCGACCGGACCCCATCCGGACCCGGGCCGATCGTCCGGACCCATCCGAATCCAGCCCCATCCGGATCCGGGTCGATCGACCGGGCCCCATTCGGACCCGAATCGATCGACCGGACCCATCCGAATCCAGCCCCATCCGGATCCGATTTCGATCGACCGGGCCCCATCCGGATCCGAATCGATCGACCGGACCCCATCCGGACCCAAATCGATCGACCGGACCCATCCGAATCCAGCCCCATTCGGATCCGAATCGATGGACCGGGCCCCATCCGGACCCCAATCGATCGACCGGACCCATGCGGGTCGATCGATCGAACCCATCCGAATCCGACCGCATCCGGATCCGAATCGATCGATCGGACCCCATCCGGACCCGGGCCGATCGTCCGGACCCATCCAAATCCAGCCCCATCCGGATCCGGATGGATCGACCGGGCCCCATTCGGACCCAAATCGACCGACCGGACCCATCCGAATCCAGCCCCATCCGGATCCGATTTCGATCGACCGGGCCCCATCCGGACCCCCATCGATCGACCGGACCCCATCCGGACCCGAATCGATCGACCGGACCCATCCGAATCCAGCCCCATCCGGATCCGATTTCGATCGACCGGGCCCCATCCGGATCCGAATCGATCGACCGGACCCCATCCGGACCCAAATCGATCGACCGGACCCATCCGAATCCAGCCCCATTCGGATCCGAATCGATGGACCGGGCCCCATCCGGACCCCAATCGATCGACCGGACCCATGCGGGTCGATCGATCGAACCCATCCGAATCCGACCGCATCCGGATCCGAATCGATCGATCGGACCCCATCCGGACCCGGGCCGATCGTCCGGACCCATCCAAATCCAGCCCCATCCGGATCCGGATGGATCGACCGGGCCCCATTCGGACCCAAATCGACCGACCGGACCCATCCGAATCCAGCCCCATCCGGATCCGATTTCGATCGACCGGGCCCCATCCGGACCCCCATCGATCGACCGGACCCCATCCGGACCCGAATCGATCGACCGGACCCATCCGAATCCAGCCCCATCCGGATCCGATTTCGATCGACCGGGCCCCATCCGGTTCCGAATCGATCGACCGGATCCCATCCGGACCCAAATCGATCGACCGGACCCATCCGAATCCAGCCCCATTCGGATCCGAATCGATGGACCGGGCCCCATCCGGACCCCAATCGATCGACCGGACCCATGCGGGTCGATCGATCGAACCCATCCGAATCCGACCGCATCCGGATCCGAATCGATCGATCGGACCCCATCCGGACCCGGGCCGATCGTCCGGACCCATCCAAATCCAGCCCCATCCGGATCCGGATGGATCGACCGGGCCCCATTCGGACCCGAATCGATCGACCGGACCCATCCGAATCCAGCCCCATCCGGATCCGAATCGATCGACCGGGCACCATCCGGACCGGAATCGATCGACCGGACCCATCCGGATCGGATCGATCGAACCCATCCGGATCCGAATCGATCGAGCGGACCCCATCCGGACCCGGGCCGATCGTCCGGACCCATCCAGGATCCGAATCGATCGACCGGACCCCATCCGGATCCGGGCCGATCGCCCGGACCCATCCGAATCCAGCCCCATCCGGATCCGAATCGATCGACCGGGCCCCATCCGGACCCCAATCGATCGACCGGACCCATCCGGATCAATCGATCGAGCCCGTCCGAATCCGACCCCATCCGGATCCGAATCGATCGACCGGACCCCATCCGGACCCGGGCCGATCGTCCGGACCCATCCAAATCCAGCCCCATCCGGATCCGGATCGATCGACCGGGCCCCGTTCGGACCCAAATCGACCGACCGGACCCATCCGAATCCAGCCCCATCCGGATCCGATTTCGATCGACCGGACCCCATCCGGACCCCAATCGATCGACCGGACCCATCCGAATCCGACCCCATCCGGATCCGAATCGATCGACCGGGCCCCATCCGGACCCGGGAGACCCTCTAACTCCCAACCCTAGAAGCCAAAACCCCCCAAACTTTTTTAAAAGCCTCCCCCCTTTTATCCTTGATTCCTTAATTCCTTATTCCGTCAGTCATCATCCGTATGCACGATCGGGGGGTCCCAAAAAAGAGGCGCCCCTTCTATATCGATCCTATCCTCGCGGGCGGCCGAGCAAGGGGGGGTGGAATGGAAAGACCCTGCCCCTTGTAATACGGCAGCCCGCCCCATCGGAGGAGGGAGGGGTCCGGGGACCCAACCCTCCCGATGGGCCAACAACCGACCAACCCAACCAGCCGGCGCCCTCGCCCTCGGGCGCCCTTGCCCTTCTCGAATGCCAACTGCCCGCCGCCCTTCCTCACGGGCGTGCGGGGGCCCCCCCCCTCCCTAAGCCCCAGGCGTTTAGGGTGGGAGGAGGGGGGGGGGGGGGGGGTCAAGAACAAGGGCTGAATCTCAGCGGATCGTAGCAGCAAGGCTACTCTGCCGCGTACAATACCCCGTTCGGTTTAAGTCGTCTGCAAATGATTAGTTTCCCTGAAACGGTTGCCGCTCTTGTTCCACGAGCGTCTCGGCATATGCTCTTGGGGGCGCACGAAGCGTCCCCTATTCTTAGCCAGGGTGAGCCCAGAGAATGTAATAACGCTTTCAGCTTGGATTCTGACTTAGAGGCGTTCAGTCATAATCCGGCGCATGGTAGGTTCGCGCCGCAGGCCGACCGGCCTGACGCAATTGCCAATTATGCGAATCAACGGTTCCTCTCGTACTAAGTTGAATTGCTGCCGCGGAACCGGTGCATCAGTAGGGTAAAACTAACCTGTCTCACGACGGTCTAAACCCAGCTCACGTTCCCTATTGGTGGGTGAACAATCCAACACTTGGTGAATTCTGCTTCACAATGATAGGAAGAGCCGACATCGAAGGATCAAAAAGCAACGTCGCTATGAACGCTTGGCTGCCACAAGCCAGTTATCCCTGTGGTAACTTTTCTGACACCTCTACCTTCAAGCTCCGAAGAGCTAAAGGATCGATAGGCCCCGCTTTCACGGCTTGTATTCGTACTGAAAATCAAAGTCAAGCGAGCTTTTGCCCTTTTGCTCCACACGAGATTTCTGTTCTCGTTGAGCTCGCCTTAGGACACCCGCGTTATCGTTTAACGGATGTGCCGCCCCAGCCAAACTCCCCACCTGACAATGTCATCCGCCTGGATCGGCCGAAGCCTTTAGGCAAGAATCAGGGGCAATGCCCCGCCTCCACCTCACGGATTAAGTAAAATAACGTCAAGAGTAGTGGTATTTCACCGGCGGTTTCCCTCCCACTTATGCTACACCTCGTGAGTCATTTCACAATGTCAGACTAGAGTCAAGCTCAACAGGGTCTTCTTTCCCCGCTGATTTTTCCAAGCCCGTTCCCTTGGCTGTGGTTTCGCTGGATAGTGGGTAGGGACAGTGGGAATCTCGTTAATCCATTCATGCGCGTCACTAATTAGATGACGAGGCATTTGGCTACCTTAAGAGAGTCATAGTTACTCCCGCCGTTTACCCGCGCTTGGTTGAATCTCTTCACTTTGACATTCAGAGCACTGGGCAGAAATCACATTGCGTCAACATCCGTCGGGACCATCGCAATGCTTTGTTTTTAATTAAACAGTCGGATTCCCCTTGTCCGCGCCAGTTCCGAGACGACCGCTCTCCGCCCAGGGAGGGTCCCGTGAAGGGACCGCTCTGCGCCGTCGGCCAGCAG